TGAATGACCTTTCTAAACAGTTAAATCTGTGTAAAACTGGTTTTATGGTTGGAGACACAATRGTAAACCACTTGATGTACGCTGATGACTTAGTGGTTTTTAGTCCAAGRACAGCTGGTCTTCAGAAGCTGCTTGATGTGTGCTCGGTATATGGTGAACTACATSATGTTAAATTCAATCTGTCTAAAAGTGTCATTCTTATATGTCYTACTAAAGAAGACAAATATWGGGTTTTCCCTCATTTTAAACTGTRTGGGATCTTACTGAACATCGCAAATGAAYTAAAATATCTTGGTCATGTGATAACAGACCATCTACCAGATAATGAGGACATTTACCGCCAGGTTTGAATGTTTGCTCAGGCTAATGTTCTAGTTRGGAAATTTGGATATTGTTCTYATGAAGTTAAACTGAACCTGTTTAGATCATATTGTACCTCACTGTATATGGCACACCTATAATGTAATTTTAAAAAAGCCAGCGTTCAGAGATTGAAGGTGGCTTATAATGATGGATTAAGACTTTTGTTAAAGAAGCCCAGATGGACCAGTGCCAGTGAATTGATTGTGTCTGTGAATGTCAGCTCTTTGATGGCTGTTGTAAGGAAACTTGTGTATAAATTTATTTGTCGGCTAAATGAGTCTAATAATAGAATTATCCTGCTGTTGACTAACATTAATTATAGTGCAGTGAGATGTTCATCGGTATATTGGAATCATTGGTATGACTGTGTGTCTGTCTGTAGTACATCTCTAAAGATGTTGGACCAATGATTGTTTAGGGAGTAGACACAGTCCCGACAATGTTTCTTCCTGTCAGATGATGTCATTATGAGGACTGTGTGTAGATTCTCCTTGAAGTCATTTTGAGTTTAACTTTTTAAGAAACATTGCTTAACGGTTGTGCAAAATATTTGCCTCTGTATCATTGTTGGTTAGTGCAATGTGTAACCAAGTTGTATTCTGTAATCTTGTTAGTTTCTAAATTATTTTGTTTGGTTTTTCAAAGGTTTTGGCTCCCACTGTGGCCCCCAGACTTTATAAAATCATGGCGTCGATCACACCACATGATGATACTCAGGTGAATAGATCCATGTTGTTGTTGTGTTTGTAGTACTTCCCTAAACATATTGTTGGACCAATGATTGTTTAGGGAGTAGACAGTCCCTACAATGTTTCTTCCTGTCAGATGATGTCATTATGAGGACTGTGTGTAGATTCTCCTTGAAGTCATTTTGAGTTTAACTGTTTAAGAAACATTGCTTAGCGGTTGTGCAAAATATTTGCCTCTGTGTTATTGTTGTTTAGTGCAGTGTGTTAACCAAGTTGTATTCTGTAATCTGGTTAGTTTCTAAATGAATTTACAGTGTTGTTTTTTTGTTCTTTCAAAGGTTTCAGCTCCCACTGTACCCCCCAAACTTGATAAACCCAGACAAACATCTGATTACAATCAACCCAGTTACACTGGGAGTGATTAAGATCTGGGAACAGTTTAGGATCCATTTCAAACAAAAACAGGGTCTTGTTGCAGCTCCTATATCAGAAAATGCCMTGTTCCCACTTTCTTTAGTTGATTCTACCTTTCATGCCTGGGCAAATAAAGGTATAATTACTGTTAAAGACCTGTTCAAGGATGGTCATTTTATGTCCTTTCAACAGATGCAATTATTTGGTCTACTGTCTTCCAACTTTTTTAGATATCTGCAACTATGGAGTTTTGTTAAAAAATACTTCACATCAACTCTTCAGACCCCAGCATACAGCTGGATAGTCGAATGTCTGGAGGTAGATCCCATACGAAAAGGGGCCATATCAAAATTGTTCGCATTAATTCATGCAGCAGTAGCACCATCATTAGACAAAATAAAGGAACAATGACAATTAGAGTTGGGATTGAGAATAACTGAATCACAATGGCAACAGGCAATTAAGCTCATCCATTCATCATCAGTATGTATTAGACATGGTTTAATATAGTTTAAGGTTGTTCACAGGCTCCATTTGTCAAATAGCAAACTTGCAAAGTTGTTTCCAGGGTCAGATGAGGCTTGCCCAAGATGTAAGAGTGAAAAAAGAACACTTGGCCATATGTTTTGGGAATGCCAAAAATTGCAGGCCTTTTGGAGATCCGTTTTTGAAACCCTAAGTCATGAAACATTAACATTCCCCCAAATCCTCTTACGGCACTATTTGGGATTGTTCCTGCAGTATGCAGTTTGTCTACCAGGCAAAGTTCAGCTGTAGCCTTTTCTACATTGATTGCTCGTCGACGCACTTTTATTGTGGAAAAAAGAGACACCCCCTCCCATAAACGATGGATTGAGGACTTGCTCTCAAATTTCCGGGTTGAACAACAGAGATATGCCGTGCATGGTTCTGCCAACACYTTTTACTAAGTATGGCAGCCATTCTTATGCCATATTAAGAGACTCCCAGATGACTCAACATAAAGCCAACCAAGAGTTTTATTTATTTTAATATTATTATTTGTTCCCATGTTTATGTAATAGATGTGTAGATTTGTGACTTGATTTAGATGTGTTCATTGTGGATTTAATATGTTGAAAATTCAATAAAAAATTAAGTTAAAATTATATATTTGTGAAATTCATTATTTGGGGGAGGGGGGGGGTCTCCGCCCTTGGTGGGTCACAGGAGCAGCAGCTTGTGCAGAGGTCAAGACCTCGCTTTCCCCAGTCACCTCTTCCAGCTCTTCTAGGAGGACTCCAAGGCGTTCCCAGGCCAGTTAAGAGACCTCATCTCACCAGCATGTCCTGGGTCTTCCTCAGAC